TGTTTTCTTTTACCCTGTTTGTCTCTTAATTTGTCCCTTCATAAAATCTCTTCCTTCTCTCCTTTCTTTGATTCCTTTTTCTTTTTATTTATTTATTCCTTCATTAGCACCACTTTGCTGAACCGGTGCCACCATGAAATCGCGACCCTGTCACTGAATAAAATTAATATAATTTGTTTTTTGAAGCTCAATTTGCCTCAACAAAACTATATGCCTCTTATACTCGTCCTACACGCTTTACCTTCGCGTCCACTCTTAAGTCATAATTTGTTCTTTTTTGACATTTAAATTAATCATATCACACCGATATTAAAATGCCTCATTATTGCCCTTCAGTTGGTCGAACGAAATTTCTCTCATGCATATATCAACGCTGCAAAGACCACTGCCTCCTTTATCCTCGTGGCTAAACCATGCTGATGGGCGGTTTTAAAATATCAACTAAAATTCCACTTTCCCAGAACTAAAGGCTAAGAACGAATCTCATATTGGACGGAAAGCGATAAAATTATCTTTCTAAGTAGCTTTAAAATACTTTTCTGAAAAGAGTTATACAGGCCGAGGAAATGAGGGTTTTTTTGCATACGGACTTTTTTTTTTAATGACCGTATCTTTAAAATCTTCAGTAATATCTCCTAAATAAATTCGTGACTAGAACCGGAATTATATCCATCCAATTGAGAATGGAATCAAAATTCGAAAATCCTTTGATTCGATCGGAAAGGGGGAAAAAGGGGGAAAATTTATGCAAGTTATTCGAGCCTGTCAGGTAGCATGGGTGAACTTGTCTCCGTAAAATTAACTGATGAATCCGGAGTCGAATACACTACCAGTGCGTTGGTTAGTTCAAACGAGTTCACTTGATCGATACAGTCGATTTACGAGAGTTTCAACGATCAAGGATATCGATGCCCGACAACCGTGTAATTTTTCGTTTGGAATAAAAATCGCTGGCTAGGCATGGAATAAGTGATCTGACTTAATCGTATGGAAATGCTGTAGAAAATCGGTTCTATATGATCTTGATTGACGCTCTACTATACGCGAACATTATCCCACAACTGGTTTTTCAAACTTGCAGGCACCAAGATTCCAGAAACGACTCTCATCTTTTCCTAAGTCTTGATGTAGTGTGCGACAAACTAGAGGAAGAGAAAAATAGAAATACTAAAAGTGAAAGAAATTCAGAATCCTTGCATTGGTTGCATGCATTTAAGAGAATAAGAGAGAAGAAAGAGAAACTTGAAAGATTTAGAATATACACATATAACATCACCTCTGCCCCTACCCCCGAATAAAATGAAAATTGTGTCGTTATCTAATGTGATTTTACCCAGATACTGGAAAACCATAAACCATCCCATCCCTGGGATTTGAAAACCATAATACGTCCATAAAAGCAACCAGGAGAAAATGGGTCTCTAAATGAAATTCGTTAAAAAGTGAAAAGCAACCAGGAGAAAAGGGGTCTCTAAATGAAATTCGTTAAAAAATGAAATAAAATGAAGTTATTTCTTTTGCATACCCACCTTGTTGCTGTGTGCTTTTAATTATCATTTCTACAAAATTTTGGTAAAATATGTATTTTTCGCGGTGAGCGCACAATATTTTACAGCATGCATGAGGTTCTCTAAAAAGAGCTTGAAACAGATGCCCCCAGAACTCCCCTGAAACAATGTAAATGTATCAGAGGTAAATATTCCATGGATCAATAGGTACCCACAATCGAACAGCAAAGCTCATAGATGACGCAACCGTGTCTTTATGACGGTGTTCTTTGTTAATTTACAGGTACCTAGATACTTTCTAATTCCTCTACAGATCCGGTTTTGCGAATACACCCACCCAAAATAAAATATGCGGTCCTGTTTGGAGCTCAATGAGTTCTACATCAAAGGATACCAGAGTTAATTTTGCCCGCTACGCCATTGTGCGATCCATCGAGACCAACCGATTGGTCTTCAGGGGCGGTTATAATCGATTCAGCGCAAAACTGATGAATGTGGCCTCAAGGAGGGCCAGTAAGAGTTCGGGAAAGTTTATGTTCGGGACAATCAAACTCAAATATCATGTCAATATTTATCAGGGTGTCGCCCACGGTGACGATTTATCCCTGTTGATTTTTCTCGGCTAAGGACGGGCTATTGGGAGGCAGCACTTTGGTGGGTTTAGCCTATCAGTCGAATTTCCCATCGGATTCGTCAATCAAAATTATTTGATACATCAGGGGTCGAGAGATTAGATTTTGCTAGTAACTTGTCAACATCGAGAGAAAAAAAAGAGAAAAGGGTCAAAACGGCAGAAGGTGAGGAAGCAGAAAAAGAAAAATTAGAAAATGTTTAAAAAATTGGCCACCCTAATATTGATCAGCTTGAAAATGATGCTCTTTCTCCATGAGCTTTTGCAACCATTACCTCTAGTGTGACACATGTCTATCTTCAAGAATTATGCCCTGCCTACCTATTATGATACAGAATTCAACACAGTGGATTTAAAAAAAAAAAATTAAAAAATTGTTCGAACCTGCTGTCCTACAGGGTTAGTCCGGGACCCCTCTTATAAGTTTTGAACAATAAAATGCTGAAGATTCGAACTTTGCCACATTCGTCGTTTTCAGATCAGAAAAAGTAGGCAATTTTAGGCCAGCAACAATGTTGTGTATTTAAACAATCAAAGCATTATTCGGAAATTAACAAGATCACGACAAAAATCAATAATCGTTTCCTTCATCAGTACAATGGGCAACGCTTGAATTAAGTTAAGGCGTAAGAGAAAAAAGCATAGCGGCCTTATAGTTAGTGTCAAATGTGACGAACACTGCACTAACTCCTGGATGGATGGATGCAACTATTCGAGCACCATGGATGTCCGTGTTGCATGCGCACGGATTGAAGGCGTGTTGACTTGACTGTCCAGACACTCACTACTTCACTCGCGAGGTGGCGGACTATCCTGAGAAGGTCCAAAATGGCAGAGCGCTTTCAGTTCTTCGTCATGTTGCAAAAATGTCTCCTAGGCACAGATAGTTGCATACAGGAGTAGATGTAAATATCTGTTGTAACTCAGTTTTGCTATCGCAAAAATGTGCTGGGCATGATTTGTTGAGCAACTATTTATGCCTGAGAGATGTCTTCCAGGTCTAAATAAATAATTGAAGGAACTCTACCACTTTGGATCCTCGCACAAGAGCCCGTCGCACGATGAAACGAGAGAGAGGTTTCAAAGAGGCTGGACATGAAATTTTCGACTACAACTGTAAATTTTAGTGTGAAATTTTTCACATCATGAACTGTATGGAGTGCTTCTTGAAGGCAATTTGACAAGAAAATCAATGAAACCACTTCTAAAAACTCTAAGTTTTGTATTGTTATCGATAGTAGCTTTTAATTTTCCGCACATTGAATGATTCCTCTCATTGACTTGCTTGAGGCGGTTAGTATCTGAAGTCAAAACGCCTTCAGTTTCCTGCGTATGCATCACGGACATCCATGAAGCCCGAAAAGTTGCATCCCGGCGTTACAATGAAGTATGTTTTAGTATTCGTTGCATGCGGCACTAACTATAACCATAACTTACTGATTTTCATCGCGACTTTGTCAATTTTGCGAGATTTGATTTGTTTAAATGCGTTACAACGTTGCCGCCCCTCGAAATCGCAAAAGAATTAGGTGTTTCAGCATGCTACCAGTTATACCTTCAGCCTGCTTTCATGAGTTGTCCTTTGGCTGTTTTTTTTTCCTTTTCGGGAAAACTAATTATAACGCTTGAGTGCAAAATTTTTATCGGAATTTGGAACAAAAACGAAGACCACTCGTCTTCCGAAAAAATGTAATGCGGCAGGAAATAAGGGTAACGCCATAAACCTAAAAACACTTATTTGATTTCCGGGGTGCAATGGCGAGATTACAGCACAATGAAGTCTTAAATAGATTAGTGACAATTAAATTATTATGGTTTGCTTTTTCCATCCTGAAATGTAGGCTGCGGTAATTTTTACCTTCCTACCTTCTTACGGCGATCTGTATTCGAAAATGAATTTTCGATAATTCTAATAAAATTCTACCGAAAAGAACTATTTTTTGAAGTTGCCAGATTGTCCGGTCTCATTCTTGCTTGAAGCAGGCGATTAAGTAATATTCTGAAATGTCTTCTAGGATTCTAGCTCTAATTAATTCAAAAACCAGTCGGCGGCTTAAAATGATAGCTATGTCGCAGGCAAATAGTCAAATATTCTAGCTAAGATTGAAATTCTGACTCTTTTCCTAATTTTAGACAAAATCATTAATTGACCCTGTTAAAAAAAAAATTCTCAGTAAAAATTTGCAACATAAAATATTATTATAAACGATTTTTAGCTCCTGATGAGACACTTATCTTGAAATTTTCGATATGTCAGAGAATACAGCATTATTATAATTTCAACATTTAAAAACATGAGAAGCAATTTAAGAGGAAGAGACAAAAAGAGTTTGTATGTTTGATGAAATATTTTTCCACAAATATTGAAAACTCGTGAACTCTCCGTCATGATGAATTCGCAAAATTTTGTAGACAATCAGCATTTAGCTATCTGCCTAGGCATTTGACAAAATGCCTGATTTCACTATTTGCCTGCGACAGCTATAAAAGTTGGAAAATGAAGCAATCACTGGGAGAAAATTGTCGACCAGTGAGAGAAGGGATTTTTTTCAAGAATGGTCTTCGAACCTCTATTTTTTTCCTCACAAAATTAACGGAATTAGAGGTGTAGCATAAAGTGGTGATAAAAACCGAGTGATAAGAGCGTGAGCGGTAGCGGCTACTTGGGCGTCGATGATGAGAGAGCGAGAACGAAATGAGAAGTGGTTGGCAGTGGTCTGAGGAGAACTCAGCCTTGCTAGGAATGGTCGGAATGCGTAGCCGAAGCCGGCGGGGAGGGGGTGCGGCGGAGCGACGGGGAGCAAGGTGTAAGCTGCGCAGTTAGCAGTGCGCCATTTGCGTGACGTCACACCCGTCAGTCAGCTGGACTCCTGAATGTGAACAGCATCAAATGCGTTTCTGTTTGTAATCTACTCCCCAGCAAGAACGACCTTCCCACTTCGTTAGCTGTTTCGTTTCGTATCGTGCGACGTAAAACACGGGCTCATTCAGTCCCAGTTATTTCCTCGCTCCGCGATTACCTCGTCAGGCTCCCTGTGTTTCGTGTCAACGTGAAGAAGTTAGTTTATTTTGCCGGTAACACCCCTTGCCCCCACGTTATCTCCGCGAATTTCCTACTTTCTTTATGTGATTGTTCCGTTCACCAAAGCCGCATCGAACTCTCGGTACTCTTATCTCTCCCTCGATCCAACCCGCCCGAACAAACCGGTTGGATTTTTTGTGATTTTGAAATCGTGCTGTGATCTTAGCGAAATGATTGTGTTTTGTTGTTGATATTTTGTTGAATTTTGATACTAACCTAAGTGATCGGAGCTCGGGTGCTGATAAGGATCTAGTTTGAAAGCGCACTGCTTTCGCTCATCGGTTTTTGTTGTTAGTGAATTGCTCTCGCGTTCGGGAATATGGATCCACCGCCTTTATCCGAATTGGATCTCAATTTCGAGCCGCAGACCCGTGCAAGGTCCAACACGTGGCCCTTGCCGCGACCTGAGAACTACGTCGAGGATCCGCCATCGATCAAGTGCGAGGAAGTTGATAACTACTATCAGCTCGACATTAAAAGCCCCAACGTGGTCGGAGGGCCTTCGATCCCGGGGTTACCTGGTGGTCAGCTCAAGAAAAATTCGAGCCGGCGAAACGCCTGGGGTAACTTGTCCTACGCCGACCTCATAACGCAGGCGATCAGTTCGACCCCCGAAAAAAGACTCACATTGTCACAGATTTACGAATGGATGGTGCATAATATACCGTATTTCAACGATAAAGGAGATAGCAACAGCTCTGCAGGATGGAAGGTAAGCCCATTTCCCTGGTTTTACTTGAGATGTTTCTTCTTTTCTCCACGTGCGCTTGATTTCAGGTCCTCGTCTAGCCTCTTATCACATTCTGTTTTCAGTCGCAATTTGTGACGTTATTTATGCATCGTATTTATGTCGTCCTCTCCCCCACGAAAGAACGTAACTATATTTCAATGTTGCCAAATTTCCTATCACTAATCGCAATTTTAGCGAAAGAATGTTGAGCATTTCTGACTGTACATTTCACTGATTTTTCATCTGATCTCATTCAAAAATTAGAGAAATTTTCGACTAAAATCTCACAGGTGCATTTCTGTTAAAAACGAATTGTTTGAGTCAATTTTGCAACCTTGGAATGGAGTTACGTTCTTTCGTCCGGGAAACTACGAGTCATCATCTTAGGAAACCTACCTACCGATCATTCCTACAAAGTAATATCTTATGTGATTTTTCATCCCCTCTCCAGACTGATTTTTTTCTCTAGAAATACGGGAAAAAATTGGGAGATTTCAAGCTCTATTATCTCAAAGTACATACGTGTTTTTACTCACTTTAGATCTAAATAAAAATTATGTCCATACCTAAGTAAATGGGAAGCTGATGACATAGATGTCACACCAAAATCCAAAGTCCCATTTTCGACCTCAGGAAGTACTTGAGTATTTTTCCCGCTTTTAACTTTATTCCGCAGAATTGCAGGTGAGTTGATGTTGTACAAAATGTAGTACGTGGGAGGCCCCCCCCCCCCCCCTACCGGCCCCCACTCGGACGGCAACTGACAGACAATAATAATAAAGAAAGGGGAGGTCATGTCCCCTACTCTATCAGTACATGTAGGTACTCGTAGTGTTGCAGGGCAAAGACATTGCAGGGTGACAAGTTCTTGAAAAGCCAGAGAATTTTGCTGCAGAACCTTGATAGTAATCTTCAGCTAGAACATCGAATTATTTTCAATTCAAGGAGACGCTGAGGATTAAAATTTTTCGTGTTTGAAGAATTTTTACAAGAAATCGTAGGTATCATAAAAAAAAAAAAAAAAAAAAAAAAAAAAAAAAAAAAAAAAAAAAACATTAAAAGTCAGGGAATATATTGAGATTCAAGAAATTTTGTCATCTTGTAATTTGCACCTGGAGTCGTCTTGTGCCCATGAAGTCGCTGTCTGTTTGATCACAGAAATGTTGCACTGATGGGTGATCTATGAGATCAGGTTGATAATTTTTGTACAATCTAACTTGCGTTCCCGTTTTACCTCTTGGCACGGGTCCTCAAAATACTGATTTTAGGGTTCAATATTTAATCGCGCATAGGTACCTACAGTTTTCTTTTATCGGTCAGTGATAGTTTCTAGGTTATTGCAGGAAGGCTTGCCGATTTTCAAGTACTTACTGAGCTTACCTAAGGATAAACAGCTCTTAATGCAGGCATGACTGAAGCTCCATGCCAGCTGAAAGTAGGAAGACACCGTTTCTGTTATCTTTCTCTCGTAGATTCCAATTTGTAAGTTGTTACTTCCGGCTTCTGTCAACCCAATGAAACACGTTGTTCTTCCATCTCTTGGTGATTCAGAAGCTTACTAATTTTTTCATTAAACGTTTTGGATGATTGTCAATCTTACCCTTTGATTCGTCAAAATTACGGAGGTACCGCTCATTAACTTGGGCTCAAGCTCCGACACGTGTATTTTTCTTTGTTTGTTTGTTTGTTTTTTTTTTTTTTTTTTTTTTTTTTTTTTTTTTTTTTTTTTAATTCGGTACTATTTCCACGTGCATCTCCAGTGGTATTAATTTTTTTCCATCACTGTGTGTCAAAATTCCCTTATAACTTACAATTAGTTGTTTTAATTACGTATTGAATCTTAGTTTTTTTCTTCTGAGGAGCAAAGATGAAACGTTTTTTGCTAATAACTCGTTCGAAGATTTGTGCTAAGATGATTTTCTTCAGCCTAATTGGAGCTTTGATAAAAATTATCTCTGCGTTCTCAGCCTTTTTGCGCCTTGCGAACTTTAATTAAAACAGAGGATATGCGTAAAATAATTAGACGCATTATCGCCAAAGAAGTCTTCTGATGGAGAGAATCCATGGCAAATGGACTTCTTCAATTTCAGAGCAACAAATTAGTACCCATAAAGATCGTGCGGGTATTGATTTTATTTGGTTTTGGTGAGATTTCATGCGGAAAAACCTGGACTATCATAGTAAGCCGGATAGTCTCTCATGATTTTTTGGTAATTATCTCGAATTGGTAATTTTCTTGGTTTAAATCTCTCGAAGAGAAGATTATTTCGAGTACATAATGGCGGGCCTAGATGAACTTTTCTTTTAAGGCGGCGACTTTGTTGTATTCGTGTTGTATTATTTTGGTAGGCAAACGGAGAGCATCAATTTTATGTTTTGAATTTTCTCAATTCGCCATTTCAATAGATTGTAGCGAAAAAGAAAAAGAAATATAAATAATAGTCGTTCGGTCCTTCTCACTCAGAAAAAAACATCGATTACCGAATAATTATACCTAAATTTGGTTATTTTCTTTTCACACCCAAGCTTCGTGGTGAGAGAATTTGAGTCTCTTAAAAATTACGCACGCTGAGTGATAATCGCAGAAGGATGCAAGTAAAGACATTTTAAATAGTTTTTCGGGTATATTCAATTTTAAATCTCAAAATGAAATGTAGAAGCTGAAAAATTATACTCGTGTATGTTTATCAAAAGATCTAACAGTAACGCCGGATCAACTAATACGTCCCGTTCGGTATCTTGGACATGCAAAATTTCAATTGTAGGTAACGCGAAAAAAATAAAACCTATTGGCTTAAAATACATCCAGAGTATATCTGCGTATATCGATAGCCTCATTGAAAAACAACACGTGTCCGTGCTTAAATGTAAGATAGCGAAGAACTAGGTCAATTAAGCCTAAATTGTCCCACTTCTGCGGAAAGCGCACTTCGAAAGAGAGGTTTTATTTATTATTTTACTTCAAACTCAATAACGTTTTTGCATGGAAGGTGTTGATGTTGAAAAGTTGACGTAAAAAAAAAATTCGCGAACGGATTTAGTCAAGTTACAATAACCTCCTAGAAAATGTTCGAAAAAAGGCTATAATCTATTCGCATAGGTACAATAGTTGTACATAATCCCATTGGCTGCCTTCGTAGCAGGTATTTAAGGAGTTACCATTTCCTTTTGTTCATGAGTGATTTTGAATGTCTGAGTGAGAAATAGTGTTTTCTCTTTTTTCCAAATATAGTCCGAATAATGGGATCGATCTATTGCATTGGGACTATGACTATTGACTATTGGCATATTATGTATCATCTACCTCTTAATTTCTGCATGAATAACTACGTTTGTATCTATGTGACGTTATTGGTTAATTGTCGCACAATTTGGAGGTAACTATTTTAGGGGAGAGCATCTCATCGGCTCGCCACTACATATCTTGTAGTTATCGGACTTAATTTTGCAATATGGAATTACTATTTTAGAAGTTTTACACTAGGTAATTTTTAAGACAATCAGCAAAAGCGTGCTTTCATGGCAAGCCAAAAATTGAAGTTCCTCAATGTAAAATGAAGGTATTTTCTTCCGATCTATCGTCTACCTAGCCATCGTCTTTTCTTACATCGTATATCCGAAGTTTACTTCGATGACCTCGATGTTAACTGTTAGAGCGAAATCATTTTGCTAATGCACTGTTTAAGACTATGAACGTAAGGTTTGAATGCCAGAAGTGACCCCCGTGGACGGTGAAAGTGTCATCGGCGCGGCGCAGGTCACCTCTTCGACTACCAACAGTAAATTCGTCAGGTGAGCTCCCCTTTCAAGACCTTTGTGGTCCCGTGTACAACTTTTGGAACTTTTTATTTGACAGGTCGAGCAATTAATTGGTCTCACTTGGAAAAAAAAAAAACACATTGGATCTAGAGTCCAGACTCTTAAAAACATCGACAAGAAAAAATACTCTTGTTTTAATCAGATTTAAGCTTAAATCAAGAACCAAGTCTCTTAATTTGAGCGGATTTCCTTTTGATTTAAGTTTAAATCTGCTGGAATCAAGAGTCGTTTTCCTTGTCAATGTTTTCAAGAGTCTGGACTCTAGATCCAATGTGTTTTTTTGTTTTTTTTTTCCAGTGCTGAACTTTGACAACTTCTATAAGCAACGCAGCTCTCGCAGAAATGACCTATCAATTTCGCTTCGATTCCCTGCCCTAGGCTCTAATCAGAGTTGCCTTACAATTTTTTCCCCCTCGACTATCGTAAATTAAGTAGTTTGGATCGTCAATTGAGGCAACCCTGGTTCGGGCTCCCGCGAAGCAAGATTAATTAAGTCGCTCGTTGTTTAATAGAGCTAACTCATCTTATCAATTTTTCATAAAACTCATGCCGCTAATACCTCTGCCTAGCGTTTTAATTCTCCGCGGCGTATGTGGAGGGGAGGGTGCTTGAATATGGATGGACGGAAGAAGAGAGGATGAGGCAATAGGATCAAGAGAGCGAACGGAGGTGGGATATCAGCATATCTTGACTTTCATCGTGCAAAATATTTTGCTCTTCAGTTTCTGTAGCCAAAGCATTGTTTTTACGAAGCGCTTTTTTGTGTGTCAGAACGTCGCACTCGCGAATTAATAGCCCCCTTGTATTTTTTTTCTGTACGCACTTGTTTTTATTTTCATCGAACTGCTCTAGACCCGGATAGTCCCTTCGGAAGACATTTCTCCGTGTCCCCTGCCAGAGCGTTTTTGGAAGGTACTCAGATGCAATGAGTTTTACTCTCTTGGAGGGTATGTAGGAGGGGGGGGGACGCCATGACCCTCTTTTTGGTCAAGAGGTTTGACAAAAATTCCTAAATCCCCATGTTTTCGCAACTATCTCCAAGAAATCCCTAAATCTTGCAAAAACCGTCATTTTTCTCGCACAACTCTGACGTCAATCGATATAGTGACTTGCGATATTTCAATCTGATTGGCTCGTTTGAATTTTTCGCTCTCTAAAGGCAG